TTGTCATAGTGGCTGCAACAGTGGGCTCAAATATGGCAACAATTGTGAGGATGGCGAAGGACCAGGCAGTGTTTTGTTCCATTGTACGTAGGGTCACTATTAGTTGGATCCAACTCTACAACACTCAACAACAATGATGATGGTAAAGCAGTTAATACAGCGGCCCTGGTGGTGCAGTGGTTAAGAGCTTGGCTGCTAACGGAAAAGCTGGCAATTTGAATCCACTAGCCATTCCTTGGAAACCCTATGGGGAAGTTCTACCCTGTCCTATAGGGTCGCTATGAGTTGGAATCCACTCGATGGCACCTAGCAACAACAACAGTAAGTTAAGCACTCAATAAATGGCAGCTATTACAGTTGTTTGATTTGTAGAGTCCCTTTCACATCTGTTATTCATAATATTATGGATTCATACAGTTTTTACACCTTGAATGATACTAGAGATGTTTTTGTTTGGGTTGCCATGAGTTGGAATCTACTCAAAAGCAGCTAGTTATTGTTGGGTTATGCTTTAGGAGACCCTACACATTTTAAGGAAGTTGACCCACACCTGGTATTATTGTAGGATGTTTACTGTGCTTGGTCTTATATTAAATGGAACCACATATATTAAAAGTTGTATTTTTTTCAGACCATTCATGGAAGCTAACAACTGTAGATATTGGGACAAACAGCATCTGATCATACATCTAAGACAATGAGGGAGGTGTAAAACTTGTTGCTTGCTGCAGGTGCCAGTAATTCTTCTGAGCAATAAATACAAGATATTGAGTCCAGATTCAGAAGAGGACATGGAACAAAAGATACCATTGCTGCAGTCAGATGGATCTTGGTTGAAAGCAGAGAATACCAGAAAAATGTTTACCTGTGTTTTATTGACTATGCAGAGGCATTCGACTGTGTGGATCATAACAAATTATGGATAACATTGCGAAGAATGGGAATTCCAGAACAATTAGTTGTGCTGATTCAGAACCTGTACATAGACCAAGAGGCAGTTGTTCTAACAGAACATGTGAAATTGTGCACTACAGATTAGTAAGTAAACAAAAGCAAGCTCGTGCATACCTTGCTCACCATAAGCCTGTACGTTTCTTGCTTATTGGTTAATCCTCCCCTGGTAGTGAATGCTTAACTCAGTTTCCTATTAAAATTTTAGATGTACTGAATTGTTTTCAGAGTCGAGAGTTTCTTATGATTCATTCTCTTTTCACAGGCTACTCTTTTTATAATGTCAGGATCAATTCTAGTATTTCATTGGGTTGAGTCCTCTGTCCTCTGTGCCTTCATTCCGCTCAGTTTGTATTGTTACAATGCAGAACTCTTTAAGTTATCTGTTATGTATCTGTTGTTCCCAATAGGTAGTGAGTTCCTCGAGTCCAGGAACCACATCTTACACTCATTCATCTTTGCATGCTTCTTGCGTGGCACAGCACCTGGCACATGGGTGGCATTTAATAAATCCTAAATGAATCGATTCTTTGGAAATTTGTTTTGACTTAATTTTCTGCTTGGCTGAAAGAGCTAACAATTTTTATTGTTTGGGCTATAAATTGTCATGTTTGGGGCTTAGTTTGTCATGTACACAGTTATAATTGGAGTGTGTAATTGCTACACTGATTTCTTAATCTTCTTTAGTGTGATATCCTATTTGAATGGCTTCTGGATTAGCATGAAGATTATATATTTTCACTAAAAGTATTAAAAGAAGAGCCCATCGGGACTGCTTGATCTATCCACTTCTGCCCCTAGCTTCCAGAGAATTCCATTCTAGAGTTTCCTGTTATTTATTTTTTTCTCTGCAGCCATCCAGATGTCTCTAAATGCAGTTCATATTACCCGTATATGAATACCAACTATGTACCCAGCCTATGAAGAAGTTTAAGGCATACAGTGTAAGGGAGGTAGGAAAAATACAACACTGTGATAGATGTCTGCAGAGTTGGCCCCCAGAGCACAGAGAAGGAGCATCTCACACAGACCTGTAGAAGTGGTGAGGGTCTGGGGAGGTAGTCAGGGAAGGCTCTAGGGAGGATAGATTCCAAGGCTGGTGGTTTGATCTCACCTAGAGGTGCCTCAGAAGAAAAGCCTGGTGATATGCTTCTGAATGATCACAGCCTAAGGAGTACAGTTCTACTCTGCACACATGGAGTTGCCATGAGTCAGAAATGACAGGAACGAGTGTTTTAGTTTAGACAGAGGGGTGGCAAGAACAAAGGTACAGAGGTGAAGAGCAACCCGCTGTGGGTGTGGGGTGGGTCAAGCTGCTTGGAGTCAGGCAGTGTAGAGTAATGTTGCCTGAGAACCTTGTCGGAGTCAGTGCTCAGCTCAGTGGCCTTGAGGGCCATGTTATTATATGCCCAGTTTTATCCTGTCAGCTAGAGGGAGCCACTTAAGCATTTTCATCAGGGGAGGATATTATCTGATTTACATAAAATCTTGTGGGGTAAAACTGGAGAAGAAGGTGAAGACATGGGGTAGAACAGTCTGAAGGTTAATTCAGTGGTCTATTTGAGCAGGGAGGAGGATCTAGGAAGGATGGAATGAGGGCTGGGATGGAAGGAATGGTAAAAAGGGAACAGATGGAAGAGATTATGAGGAGGTGAAATCAGCAGTCCTTGATGGTTAAGGTTACAGGTAGGTCATGAGAGAAAATGGGAAGATAAGGATGATCCTTCTGTTTCAAACTTGGGTGACTGGGCGAATGATGTTTCCACTAATTGAGATAAGGAAACTAGGAAGAGGAATCACTGGAAGGGGTAATAAAAAAAAATTAATATGCTATAAACAATAACATAGCTAATATCAGAGTGCTTACAATGGGCTGCATATCTTTCTAAGTACTTTGCATGTTTTAACCTGGATTTTGTAGGCAGGGTGGCTGGATTTGAGTACTGGCTCTGCCATTTAATTGCTATGTGATTTTGAGAAACTGTGCTCAGTTTCTCATCAGTAATATGGAGATAATGATGGTACTTAGCTCATTAAAATTGTTATGGTGATTAAATGAGGTAGTATTTGTATCATGCATAGAACAGCAGCTGGCATAAGTGTATGTGTTTGTTAAATTATTAAAACGCATTACCACAGTTAAATAGACAACTGCATTCTGATAAGTTTGTTAGGCCCCAAAGGTCAGTTACTTCCTTGCACAACAGCAAACTGTGTTTTGTTTTGCAAAATCCGTTTATTCCTGAAAGTTACGTTTATTTGCTATGTAGTCTGCCTTTGTGTGTTTTTAGTTTTTTAAGAAAGCTTTGAAAACATACCAAAACCAAACCCAACCCACTGCTGTCTCATAGTGACCTATAGGACAGAGTAGAACTGCCCCAGAGGGTTTCCAAGGCTGTAAATCTTTATGGAAGCAGACTGCCACATCTTTCTCCCGAGAAGTGGCTGGTGAGTTCGAACCACCGACCTTTCATTTAGCAGTCAGGCACTTTAACCACTGCGCCACCAGGGTTTCCTCTTGTCTCAATGGCACATAACAATAATTTGAAAACATCCAGTGACTTTATTTGCTCATGCCCTCTCCCTTTAAAGCGGAAAGAATTGGATTTTCATAGAAATTGTAAGCTTTGGGCTTCAGGATGCAGTGGGTAATAGAAGTAAGGAATGAAGATGGAAGCTGCTGGTGATAGTTCCAACTCAGGTTGTTCCATCAGCTGTGCAAGAGGGTTGTGACAAGGAGAAGTCTAGAGAGGTTTACTTCTTGGGCTTCCTGAGCCCATGTTTTAATCCAGGCTAACGCAGAGCAGACTTCTACTTTCTGCTACTCAGATGCTGGAAACAGTGATACTAGACCTTCTGTGCCCTACAGAATATTATCATGTACAAACTTTTGAAATGAAGTCATCTTACTGTTATTTCAAAGATAGTCTCCCTGTAAAAAATTTACTTGACTTTCATAACCCCTAGTTAGTTGGAAAATATTCCAGAAAGGCCAACTTCCAGGACCTTCAAGCAGCTGCCAGTCTTTTCCATATGAACATTCTGGAATATTCCTATACCATCAATCTTTGACAGATAACTCATTTAAAATTTCCCTGAAAATTTTTTATTGGCTGGTTATATAGCATAGTATGTTGGTGACACTTGAAAGTAAGAACATTTGTTTTCATTTTTGTTTTAGGAGATTAACAGAAAAAAAAACTATGTCAAATAAGATTATTTTGGCAAGTAAATTATTTTTTAAAATATTCTCTTTTTAACAAGCAGAATACTGGAAAGCCCAGCAAATCACACTTTTTTATTCTTAAAATAGAAATATTTTATATGATCCAATATGAAACTTCACAGAGAAGGCCATCAGTCACTTCTTAAATTATTTCTTGCCAAAGTCTTACTCTTGAATTCTTGATTTTTCTGGCTTCTCTTTACCTTTAGGATGGGTCTCCTTGGTAATCAGTGAAGGCACATGTCTGTCTTTAGGCAACAGCCTAATCTCTGTGGCCATATGCACAAAAGCAATATAATTACAATGTCGAATTAATTAGTCCATGTGACTGTTTTTGTTTTAATTATTTCAAATCATCTTATCTTGCCATTGCTTAAAACATGTCAATGGGTACCATGTGTATGGTGTTTCTATGGAATTAAATATGTACACATTCACATAAACTTGGTAAACAAATCTGTTTCTTTTATCTTTATAATGTTATGGATAGGTTTTGTTCACTCTCTCAAACATCAATTTAGGCCTGAAGAAATAGAGTATTATAAAGAATTGATTCTTTACATTTTGCCTAATTTATAGAACATAGATTGGATATCTCTAACTGAAGAGGTCTTAGCTGACATAATTGTTAGAAATTCTAAGATTTACAGCTTAATGAATTAGGGATGTACATGCTTATGTTGCAGATTCTGCTTATGTAATTTGGTAGAAAATTTAATGATGAGTACCCATTTTCACTGAATACAAGTATTTGGTAGACTGTATGTAGAAACTGGCATTTATCTGTGTTCAGATTTTAACTTTTGTCTCCCTGTTTTCTCAGTTGTTTTTATTTCAGTTGCTGCGAGGGCTGTCTTACATCCACCAGCGTTACATTTTGCACAGAGACCTGAAGCCACAGAACCTTCTGATCAGTGACACGGGGGAGTTAAAGCTGGCAGATTTCGGTAGGAAAGCAGTTAATTACCAGTCTATTTTGTCACACTGTGAGAATGCCAGGCAGATGGTGGCATTGCATTTGTTTAGGTGCACTTATTCTGTCATCATAGCTCATGGTAAATTTTTTTCTGGAGTGAAAGAATTTTTTCTTTTTTATAATAAACATAATACTTGGTAGAGTTTTCAAAATTCAAACTTAATTTTAAATTATCATTAGCATATATATATATATAATCTCCAAAAGAGAAGCTAGTATTTTTTTTCATTGTGATAAAATGTGTATAACAGAGTACTTGCATTTCTACCATTTTTATGCATGCGATTCAGTGGCCAGTAAAATTTTGAACATAATCTATATTGAGAGAAAAGTAATTATTCCACATTTTGTTATGAAAATGTAAAGCATACTCAAAAACAGAAGAAATAGTGTAATATACCCCTACTACTCATCTCCCAGCTTGAACAATTATCGGTCTATTGCCAGACTTGAAGAAACCTGAATTTAAGCCTCTAAACTTTTTCGGGGCATCACAGGATATATTCAACAGAATATGTTGCCTGAAGGCTTTACTTAAAAAACTACCCAATTCCGTCGAGTCGATTCCAACTCATAGCAATCCTACAGGACAGAGTAGAACTGCCCCACCAAGGCTGTAATCTTCGGGGAAGCAGACTACCCCATCTTTGTGCTGCTGGTGAGTTTGAGCCACTGACCTTTCTGTTAGCAGCCAAGTGCTTAAACACTGTGCCACCAGGGCTCCTTCCCTAAGACTTTAATAGCTTAAAAATCTAGGAACAGTGTTAACCTTTCCAGAGTAACTGTTGTTTCAAGAATTTTCAATAACATTGCAAAAGCTGGGGCTGCTGACCTGGACCCATTATAAGTCATTCCTTCTTAGAAGTTTTAAGATTGGCCTCTTCCAGATTAAAAGCTTCCCTCCAAACTCTGTCTTTGAGCGAAGGAGACAAAGATGTTGTATCCTCCTTAATCCAGTCTGATTTTTTTGAATTGCCCTGGCTCTCTGTCATACCAGAGAGCATGTTGAGTTAACTGCCAGCACAGAGGAATGCTTGCAGCTTGATGTGTTGATGTTACATTGCCTCAATTATTTTTGAATACATTTTCTGATTAGAAAGTTACTCCATTAGGACTAGAATGAAAATATTACCCTTGTGACATAAGATGTCTGAGGTTGAGATATGGGCTTTTGCTGAAATATGATTATCTTTTCCCACTCTATTCCTCAATAAATAAGAGAGAACAGAAAATATATCTATTCAAGGTTAGTAGACTGCTGAATACCTTGGACTAAATCTATTGTATTGGGTTTTGTACATTTTTTTTTTTCTAAAAATGAAATAAAACGAAAGTTAGCATGACTATTGATACATTGGAAAACTTTGTCATTTGTCCTCTCATCTAGTTTGGGAAAAATAATGAAACTGTGTGTATGTGTGTACATATGTGTATATGTTGTTTATTGCCTGATTTTAGCATCAGAATCATAGCAGGTGGCTAGATGTAAAATCTTTTTATTACAATGTAGAAAATAGTGGGAGGACAGGTAGATGAAGGAAAGAATACAGCTTGTAGTTCCTCAAATTCAAGGTTATGGGCTTTACTATAAATATATGTTTTCCTCTCAATAATTTAACAAGGATTTGTAGTAATTTTTTTATGGTGTGTTAATATGCTATAAGGTATATGTTGGAATCAGTGATTGTATTGGACATTTCATTGTCTTGAACATTTTTTGTATATTTATAAAATATATTTTTATAGGGTTGATTTGGTATAGCAGAGACACAATGGGACTCTATGTAAGTGCTGAGTGGGGATTATTTCTTAATTTTGAATTTAATTTGAGGTTTTTTTTTTTTTTTACAATTTGTAAGTTCATTTTAAAGATTATTATGGATGAAGTGACATTTTATAGTGTCATGTTCAGAAAGAAATTAAAATGTAATTTAAAAACTTAGATACTTTTTAGAAAATTGGAAAATTTAGAAAGTATGAACAACTCAGAGATGACATATGTTAACATTTTTATTGTATATTTTCCCAGTATCTTTCTTCTCTTTCTCCTCCTCCTTTTTCTCTTTCCTTACTTCTTTCACAACATGTTTTATATCCTCAAAAAAAGAAACGTAGTATTTTGTAACCATTTTTCATGTAATAATTCATAAACATTTTCTTATGTAATTAAATATAACAAAATCATTTAGAACTGCTCAGATTTTTTCATGAATTTCCCAACACTAGTCTCTTTATTCAATACCTTATCAATGAACATTTTGGTTCTAATTGTTTGCTGTTATGCACAGTCCTGTACATCCCTGCAGAGAAAGCGATGTATCCTGCAATTGGAATATTGAGTTTCTTAAAGCATTGGCTTCTTCACACCAAGAGTGCTCTGCAGAAAGGGTGTTCCCATATACATCCTAGCAGTGTCATGGACTGAATCTTCTAGCTTGGAACATGCACTTAGCTTGCTCCCTGTGCACAGAGTATAATGAAGGCGACTCATTCACCAACTAACAATTTCCCCCAATTAATTGTGCATTATTTTTGTTTTTTAATTTAAGACCTGCAATTAACTGTGATTTACTGTGTTTGTGCACGTGTGTCTGAGATGAAGGAAACACAGTGGATGTTTTAAAGAAGCTTAACAGTCAAAATGGGATGGAACTAGGTAGCAGAACAATTAGAAACATGAGGTAATAATTCAGTTGAATATATGAAGAGCTTTAGAAATGGTTTCCTTTTTCTACTTTTTTTCTTTATGTGAGCAGCACTATAACATTTTGATTAGAAGAGACAGATATAATCTGTATGATTTGAGTTCCCATATGGTAAATGCTGTATATTCTATTTGCCAGACACTTAGAATTCTTACTCCATTGTCTCTTCAACCTAGTAAAGTAGGTGGGCATATCCTTATATTTCTGAGAGAGACATGAGAGTCAGAGAGGGTAAGAAACTCTCCTGGGCTTAGTAACACTGGTAGCTGGTTGCGAAGCTGCGATTCAGATGTGTGATCCATATCCTTCAGTCTCAGGTGGGCCAGAGTCTTCTTTATATTTACACACATAGGTATTTTACTTTACAAGGATGCCTAATCTTTTAGTAAATTACTCATCATTTTCTATATATGTTATTTTCTGCATATAACAAATACAACACACATACTATGAAAATAGATTGTGCTAAAACTAAAAAATAGCTCACACAACATGGATGAATCTGGAGAGCATTATGCTGAGTGAAATAATTCAATCACAAAAGGACAAATACAGTATGAGAACTCTATTATAAAAACTCATGAAAAGGTTTACACCCAAAAAGAAACAATCTTTGATGGTTATGAGGGAGGGGAAGTGTAGGGAGGAAAAAACACTAACTAAACAAAAGTTAAGTGGTAACTTTGGTGAAGGGTGAGACAGTACACAATACTGGAGAAGTTGGCACAACTTGACCAAGGCAAAATCATGGAAGCTTCATTCATAAATGCATCCAAACTCCCTGAGGGACCGAGTTATGGGGCTGAGGGCTGGTGACCATGGTCTTGGGGGACATCTAGCTTGGTTGGCATAATATAGTTTATAAAGAAAATGTTCTACATCCTACTCAGGTGAGTAGTGTCTGGGGTCTTAAAAGCTTGTTAGTGGCCATCTAAGATATGTCTACTGGGAGGGAAAAAAAAAAAACAAAGACACAAGGGAAAGATTATTCCAGAGGCCTAATGGACCACAACTACCACAGCCCCCACCATTCTGAGTCCAGCACAACAGGATGGTGTCCAGCTACCACCACCAACTGCTTTGACAGGGATCACAGTAGAGGGTCCTAGACAAAGTGGGAGAAAAATGTAGAAAACAAAATTCAAACTCAAAAAAAAAGAAAAGACCAGACTTGCTGGTCTGACAGAGACTAGAGAAACCCCAAGAGTATGGCCCCCAGACACGCTTTTAACTCAGTACTGAAGTCACTCCTGAAGTTTACCCTTCAGCCAAAAATTAGACAGCCCATAAAAGAAACACTAGCACATGTAGTTCAACCATGTATACGAGACTAAATAGGCATACCAGCCGAAAAGCAAAGACAAGAAGGCAGGGAGGGACCGGAAAGCTGGACAAATGGAAGTGAGGAAGCAGAGGTCTAGAAGGAGAGAGTGTTGACACATTGTGGGGTAGGCAACCAATGTCACAAAACAGTATATGTATTAATTGTTTAATGAGAAACTAATTTGTAAACTTTCACCTAAAGCATAAAAAAAAAAAGAAAAAAAACAGCCCACATAATTTAAACAACATTTTGTTACTTGACTAATTTAATCGTCATGAGTGAAGTCAGCACCTTAGTACTTTGGAGATTTTGCATGCTGGGCACAAGATAAACTAGATGATAGTATATTGGTAGAACCGTTTGGGTTTAAACAGAATGCAGTTCTAAAGTCTGTTGTTGTTAGTTGGTGTTGAGTTGATTCTGACTCATGGCGACCCTATATGTGCAGAGAAGAACTGCTCCTTAGGGTTTTCAATGCTGTGACCTTTTGGAAGCAGATCGCCAAGCCTGTCTTCTGAGATGCCTCTAGGTGGGTTCTAATTGGCAGACTTTCCATTAGTAGTTAGGCACTTAAGATAGTAGTCAGGCACTTAACCATTTGCACCATCCTAACTAACTAACTAACTCTTAGGTGGTCCCATACTGTAATTATTTTTTGTAAGCAAAATCATAGTTAAGCACTTACCTGACTGAGCCTTATTTACCATGTGCATTTTGAATGAGTAAATTACACATGACTTAGAATCACTATGGCTTTTCTAATGCAGAGGTTTGTCTAGAACTACTGCATATATATATAATAAAATAATGAAATTATGTGGACTCATTTTCTAAAATAAGGCTCATCTTTAAATTATCTGTGGGAAAAATATTTCAAAACCTTTATTCAGCCTGTTTCTCCAGCACTTTGCTCCTTCTCGCACACTGTGCTGCAGCCAAACC